CCAAAAAAGTGAGTGCATACACTTTGATTAGCAAACCATGTTATACTTCCCCTTCCCCAATAACTCATCAGCCACCGCTCACTAACTTTCCCCAGGGGGCGCCGCTGCCTGCCGCCATCGCTCACTTGCGCGCCTGCCACCACTCGTCGTCACTCAGGGCGTTACGACGTGCAGAATGTCCGCGTACTTGAACGGCAGCCGGGACTCGGCAGGCCGCTGTCCTTTGCCGGGTCGAGTCGAAAGAGCGCGCAGCCGACACAGGAGCGGCTTCTGCGATGTGCGCAGAGCTTCCCGGCTTGTGCTAGCATTGCTCGCGCAGCGTGTGGATCTTCGCCTCGAATCGGTTAAGTCCTCGGGCCGTATTCGACAGCTACTCCACCTGCGAGGGGAGAGATGGGAGGCTGACAGGTAAAAAATACACTGGAGCGATTCGCTCTTCAAACGCTCACGCGAGGGCTCAAATAGCTCCCGGTAACATTTTTGACGAGTAAGCTATTTTTCCATAAACACTTTTGAACAAGTGCGCATACGACAGCCTCCATCCTAACGTCATATCTGCGGTGACTCTGTGGTGGAGTGGTGGGATTCTGTAAACCCTTTAGTCCCCAAATTGTGTTCACATACATGCCGAAATAGTGGAATGCAGCCAGAGATGGTATCAGGAACCTTCTCAAAAGAATGTTCGTGTGGATCGTTATGAAAGTGCCACGAGATGGCGTGTAACGTTGAAGGTGTCTTTCAGATTAAAGATGGAAGCTCCCATCATTCGTAGTAGTAACAACTTATTTGCAAGACAGAATCTATGGGTAAGCACTTCATCCCATTTACCTACCAAGCCTACAGGCTGCAAATTCAATAGAGAGCTGCCACCTGTACACAAATTAATGCAGGCAAAAACTGGGCCCCAACAACAGTGCACAGCCACTGGCAGTGGAATACGTGACATGTAAAGACTGTACAGTATCACAGAATGACATAACGAAATTATTACGATTTAAGAATATACACTTCTTAACCAAATTTATGCTTTTGAAATTTCAACTGTGACATTGTACGGCCTCAACTCCAGGCATGTATAGATTCTACTATGCAAAACCCCGGCAGTCCAAAATTCTTTCTAACAGACAGTCAATCAAATCCATGTTTTTAACTCCTCCTCCTTGAGGTAGAGGGAGGGGATGGGTAGGGGAGGGGTGGGGGAAAGGGGTGGGGGGAGGGTGGGGGAGGGGGAAACATCGCAAGGGGAGGGTGGGGGGGGGGGGGGAGAGCGGGGCTCTATATAGGCAAAGCAGCTTCAGCTCCTTTGTAACATCAACAAATGCCATGTTTAACTCGCTCTGAGGGTCAAAAGGTTATCCGAATCACTTACTCTTCGCATTGTCAGCAGAAGGGACATTTCATGTCGCTTTTCAAGTAAAGCCATAAAAATGCTAGTCACCGCTGAACAAAAAAAGTTTTCAAATCGCTCCTCAGACCATGTCCTCAGAAAATGTCTAAATCTGCCCTGTGCCCCATTGACGGACTTTGACCTGTGAACGGCTCCAATTTCGGGCACAGTGATGCTTTTCCTACTCATGATCTATAACCGCTATCACGAGCTAGGTCGAGCCGTTTAGATTGTGCGGCAATTCTGCATTTGCCTCCTAATTACTAAGTTAAGGCAAGTGAATGTTTTCCCCCTTTTTTTACACTCTTGACCTTTGACCTTTGCCCCCCCAGCTTCGAACAGCCAACTCGTTTGAACGATCCCCCCCAATGTGCCGAATATCGGACCGTACGGAGCGGTTAAGATTTGTGGCCCAACATGTTGACGCACAGCAACGGACGGGGACGGAGGACGCACGGACGACGATGTCAATGCGAGTCTAACAAGTGGCATGCTGACTATGTCAGATGAGCGATAAAAAGAGGCTGAGCATAGTGAGTGCAATGATACTGCTTCATGTGATCGCCGAGCATGTGGCTCTTACGTTTGTGTTTTATGCACGGAGTTTGAGTGATTGGCACGAGATGTAGCAGTACACTTACAGTCTGCGCTCATCGTGTTTACCTGACCTTACCCTGACATACTTTAGCACCTGAGCTTACCTGTCACCTGACATACTTTAACAACCTGAGCTGACCTGTGCATCATGACATACTTAGACCTAGGCTGACCTGTTCAGCCCTGACATACTTTTAGCACTGAGCTGACCTGTCACCGGACTACTTTAGGCCACTGATCTTCCCTGTGACTGACATACTTTAGCCCTGATCTCCCTGTCACCTGACATACTTTAGCACCTGAGCTGACCTGTATCTGAAAATACTTTAGGCACCGTGAGCTTTACCCTGTCACCTGACATACTTTAGCACCTGATCTAACCTGACATACTACAGCACCTGAGCTTACCTGTTGACCAGCATGCTTGAGTGCGGCTGCCGCTTGCTCGTGCGTCGCGAACGACAGGTCCTGTCCGTTGACGGATATGATCTGGTCCCCGCGGTGCAGGCCACCGCTGAGGTCGGCCGGCCCACCTGCAAGGTGCGTGCGACACGAGTTAAACACGATGACGATATCATGATTCACGGCGGGGCAGACACATTGTTCAAAGTATTTATGCTGCGTGGGGAGTGGATCTGTGGGGCCGACTGCCACGCGAGTGATTACAGAGGAGCGGTTTGGTTATAGCCCGGCGCACACGTGTGTAATATTTACTCAAGTAAAATGATGGCATGCAATCAAATACTCACGTGTGCGGCGGATTTTCGTTGAGTATTCTGACGAATGCGTCAAAATACTCACGTGTGCGGCGGATTTTCGTTGAGTATTCTGACGAATGCGGCAAAATACTCACGTATGCGGGGGATTTTCGTTGAGTGTTTTGACGCATTCGTCAAAATACTCACGTGTGCGGCGGATTTTCGTTGAGTATTTTGACGCATGCATCATTTTACTTGAGTAAGATTACTCACGTGTGCGCCGGGCTTTACGTGATCATGGTTAGAGGAGAATGGTTATAGGCTTACAGGGGTCGAAATAAGCGATGGTCCGATGGTCCAGGGCCATTAAATAATCAGGAGGACCATCAGATTTTCAAAGTCAATGGTCCGACAGATGATTGAATATTTTGGTCACATTTTACGGTAATTTTCTTTGAAGTTTCCACGTTCCAATATACTATTAAAGTGAATAAACAATTAATGTATCGTTTGATACATTCATTGTTACTGTAGGCGAATAATTAAACCATTTTATCACCATGTAAAATCTCTTTTTTAGGCTTGCACGCCGCATTACTTTTAGAGAACAATTTCAAATTTAGGAGGACCATCTAAAATTTACCACCATCTAAATTTCAAACTAGATGGTCCTGTGGACCATCTCTTTTTCTCTCCTTATTTCTACCCCTGGGCTTACACGTGAAGTTGGAAAGAGGCTGTGACTTTGTGTGACGTTGTGACGAGTGTGACGAGTATGAATAGGTATGAATAGTACTGGTCAGTGGTCACGGCTTTACACGATGTTGTGAAGGATTGTGATACCAACACAGTACACACTATTTTATACTACGTTGCGAGTAGAACGCCGATGGTGACAGTGATTATGACTTATATGTACAACTGTACTGTGTTGTGACCAGATTGCTGAAACTGACAGTAGTCACAATGCTCTGCTGAGGACAGTATGCACTGACAGTGGCCTCCAGTGAATCAAACTCAATAATGATCGATTACTGGTATTATTTAGTCGCCACGACGACTGAACACACGTATGCGTATTCATGTGTACTTATGATGTGTTTATTCAGGCGTACAGTTCTTGTCGTGGTACAGTGAATGAAGCGTTTACCCGCTAGTATGAACGATATGAAGATGCCTTCTCCATCCTCTCCTCCCACTATGTTGAAGCCGAGGCCAGTCTGGCCACGCACCAGTGTCACACGCCGTGGGTCACGGCTAATGTCATCGTCACTCGGACGCGGGGCTGCAACGACGAGATACAAGTGCAGTTAGCACACGTACGGTCATAACAAACAACAACAACAACAACAACAACAACAACAACAACAACAAGATTGATAACAGTACCAATTCGTAAGATCCACATTATGATGAGTGTATTTTGCAATTGCACATGATGTGATTCATTAGTTTGCATAGCATAACAGTGACTCAACACTTTAATGTGTGTGTGGTCCATGCTTGGCAGGTAGGGTAGTGGGTGAATATGTGGATGGATGGACTGAGGCATGGATGGATGGATGGATGGGATGGATGAGATGGATGGATGGGATGGGATGGGATGGATGGATGGGATGGGATGGGATGGTGGGATGGATGGATGGATGGATGGATTGATGGATTGATGGATGGACGGACAGATGGATAAATGATCAGACACATAGATCGTATTGATACTGGTTACACACATATTGATATATTGATATTGATTATATACGTACTGGACTCCTCTCCATTGCTATTCAGTTCTGGTACAGGCTTGTGCTTGGCATGCTGGACCGACGCGCGAGCGGCGCTGGGTCGAAACTGTTAACACATGACCGGAGCGAATTTTAACGCAATTAACGACGTCGATCAAGCGCGCTACGCAGCCACCATTGTTGCTCTCGCTCGGTGGCCACTAAATTCGTTAATTAGTAATTACAGCGCTAATCACCCGGCATCGGGGGGATTGAATCAGCGGCACAACGATTATGTTCCACGCTGTACCGCCGCCCCGAGACTGTTTACATTCCGCGCCGACTGAGACCGTGAAGTTTGTCAACAAACGACGGCAGAGTTCGGACGTGTAACTGTACGTGTGTGCGGGGTGGGGGCGTTGTTATGGTAGTAACACCTGCAATACGCCATAGCTTTTCCAGAGTGACGAACGACTTGCGTCTGCTCTTACTGAATGATTATGAGTATTTGCGCACGCGATCGCACGCTGTACATAGCGTAATGATTTGGTTGGCAGGGACGTTGTTCTTACAGACAGGGTGACTCGACTGTGTGTCGCCGTGGTTACGATGGAGTTGCCAGGGCGATTCTTACATGACGATCGCCAATGACACTCTCGACTGCGAAAACACAGGTGGCAGTGGACAATGACCATGTCGGGACAATTCTTACAGAGACGGGGTGACAATTCCTACAAGGACGGGGTGACAATTCCTACAAAGAAGGGGTGACAATTCCTACAAGGACGGGGTGACAATTCCTACAAAGACGGGGTGACAATTCCTACAAGGACCGGGTGACAATTCCTACAAAGACGGGGTGACAATTCCTACAAAGACGGGGTGACAATTCCTACAAGGACCGGGTGACAATTCCTACAAAGACGGGGTGACAAGACTTACAGAGACATGGTGACAATTCGTACACAGCCATGGTGACAATTCGTACACAGACATGGTGACAATTCGCACACACAGACATGGTGACAATTCTCACACAGACAGGACGATTGTGATCTCATCGCTGCCACAACTCACCAGTGCCGGTTCCTCGACGGTCGGGGGCGTCGGCGGCGTGTCGGGCGGCGACCCCATCTCATCATCCTCCTCCTCCTCCTCCTCCGGGGGCGGGGGCGGGGGGAGATCGGGCGAGAGTGGGGCCGCGACCCTCATCGCGGGCTCGGGCACGAAGCGGCGCTTGGCGATGGAGGGCGAGTCGAGCGACTCGAGGGACGACTCACGACTCTGCCTCGCGGCGGCGCGCGCGAGGCTCGGCCGCACCAGGTGCTCCTCGACGATGTCAGGCGACTTCTCGTCCTCAGGCGAGGCGCGCGGCGCCGGCGCCGTCGCCGTCTTGTACGTCACCGCCCGCGTCGCCAGCGCCGGTTTCGGCGCCACCTGGGGGGACGCGGCCGGCTTGGGCGCCACCTTTGGCGATGCGGCGACGAGTTTCGGGGCGACGCGCGGCGACGCAGACGCTGCTTTGGGAGAGCCGGTTACAGCCTGCGAAGCCTTGACGGTGGAGCGCGGCTGCTGGGAGATGGAGCTGTTAGCTGCTGGCGTCGACGTCAGCGACTGCAGAAACAGCGCCTGCATCGTGTTGGGTCCCGTTGCCGGCGGCGACGCCGCCGCCGCCTCCTCCTCCTGATCCGACGTATCCGGCGTCTCCGCGGCACCCTCTGGTGGCGATTTCGGCGGCGGCGGCGTCGACGCGGTGATCGGCGGCGGGATGCTGTCGTCGAGGCCGAGGATGCCGCCGGGCGTCGTCTTGGCGACGCGCAGAACGACGCGGTTGGACGTCGCCTTCAGCACGGCGACAGCATCCTCGTGCGTCGTCGCCGCGAACGATCGATCGCCGACGCTCAGCAGCTTGTCGCCGACGCCCAGCCGTCCGTCAGCCTCCGCCGCGCCGCCCGGGATCACCTTGGTTACGTAGATGCCGTCGTCGCCGGGGACGTGCTGGTTGCCGACGCCGCCTGCGATGCTGAACCCGAGCCCGCGGCTTCCCTTGACGAGTTCGATCGTTTCGACCGCGGACAGAGTGCGCCGCCGTTTCACTTGCAGGATCACCGTCCCGCCGGCTTTCTTCAGCGCGGCGACGGCCTCGGTGTGCGTGACCTCCCGGGTGTCGACGTCGTTTACGGCCAAGATGGCGTCGTCGACGCGCAGACGGCCGTCGTTGGCCGCGGCGCCGCCGGGGATCAGCTTGGTGATGTAGATGGCCGGGTCGTCGTCGACGTGCGGGTTGTCGGTGCCGCCGGCGAGCGAGAATCCGAGGCCGGTGCCGCCACGCTCAAGCCGAATCTCGTCGTACTCCCACGCGCGGTCCAGCCCGTTGACGACGCGCTTCGCCGGCGAGGGTGGCGCCGCCACCGCGACCTTCTTCGCGGGCGGCACCTCCGGCTGTCGCACTGCAACCGCCTTCAAGGCGGGCTTTACGGTTGCCGCGGCGACGGGCGCGGGGCGCGGCGGGGTCCCCTCGGTCTTTGTCGTCTCGGTTTTTGTTGTTTCGACGTGCGCGGCGGCAGGCGGCGCGGGCATCGGTGAGGCGCCCTCTGGTGGCTCGGGTCGGGACTTCCAGCAGAGCAGCGAGCCCCCGGACGACTTCTTCTTTCCCTTCTTGCTTTTGTTCTTGGCCATTGTTTCAGCTACTGCATCAACTGCGCATGATAGGTGGCACTTGCGCCGGTCTGGTGTCCTCGCTACTGCTAGCTATTCGTGTCTACATCTGTAGGGCCGGCATTGCGACCTCGCGCGTTTATCTCGGGAACTTTTGTCAGACGATGGCTGCCGCTTCTTAACCGCCCTCTCCGCTGTCTGTCTCGTCGGCTACAACACTAAAGCTGTGGGAGCGTTAGCATGCAATTCCTTCGTTCAAAATGGTTTTAGGTGTGTACACACATTGTAATTTATTCTGCTGTACAGGATGTGAGACCGATTGGTGCGTTCACGCTCTGTTAAAATTCGAAAAAACACCAGCGCACGACGTAAATTTACTTATCGGCATTGCCGAGGTTTTGGAAGTGGGTAGGTCGTGCTTACGAAATGCCGAGCATAGTATTCTTGTAGCTTTACTCAGACCGGGAGTTAGTATTGATGTTACAGGCACGAAATATTCATTCTCGTTGTTTTGTTGTTGCAATTATTATCGTTACCAGAAGCTGACAAACTTCCCACAAAATGGTTTTAAGTGTGTACACACATTGTATTTTATTCTGCTATACAGTATGTAAGACCGTTTGGTGCGTTCACGCGCTGTTAAAATTTGAAAAAATGCCAGCGCACGACGTGAATTTACTTATCGGTATTGCCGAGGTTTTGGAAGTGGGTAGGCCGTGCTTACGAAATGCCGAGCATAGCATTCTTGTAGCTTTACTCAGACCGGGAGTTAGTATTGCTGTTACAGGCTCGAAATATTAATTCTCGTTGTTTTGTTGTTGCAATTATTATCGTTATCAAAAGCTGACAAACTAAAAGGATTTTCAATATTGAATAAATACGTCCGTGTGCAAGAAAATTTAATGAAAGCAATGCAATACGCAACTTTCAATGTGGGGTAATACACATACATAGAATATGCGTAGTCACGGACGGTACCGGTATAGTGTGTAATTTGGACTACGCAACATTGTATTTTGTTATTACGCATGTTTTCATACTGTATGTTTAGGAATTCAGTCCGACCGCAGAGAAAAGAAAACAATAGAATTCACTTGCATAATTTTGTTAGCAATTTCGCGAAACTGATATCCGGAGTTGTACTTGTGTCTTGTTCAGTTGTTGCCCTCTACGAACGAGCGGAGCGGGTGACATGCGTTGGTAGGTAGATGGTGACGGGGATGTGGATATGTGAATAATTTTTCTTTGTTTTGTCTAGTCCACCATCTTTTAACGCAGAAACTAATAAATATACGAACCTACGCATAGACGCTCGCAGACTAACCAAATGGCGGACTACGGTCCGACGCCATTTTCTTGAAGAATAGGATACCTACTTACCGGTAAGAAGGAAATATGTCAGACCGCTGGGGTGTGGTAATCTGCCTATTTTGCGCAAACAATCGGTCAACCATATCAAAGAGCCGTTGGTGGACTGTGAACCTGATGTTGCACTGCCCTCTAGTGGCGCCTCTAGATACTTCACAAACTACGGTGGTTGGTGTGTGTATCGCTCGCGGATGGTGCTATCTTGTCTCACCTCTGACCACGTTCTATACCACAATGACGCTTGTATGTAGTCTTGCACGAAATGAAATGTCTTTCATCTTCACTAGCGCTTACTTTGCTGTGAGGGTTATGAACGAAATTTGGGCATAGCAGCTATGGGGTCGTTGAAGTACAGCCTACGGGTTATTGCTGTAGGTAGAAGAAAGAGTTGCATGGATAATGCGATGATAACCTAGCGATGATGACCTAGCATGGATAATGCGATAAAAACGCAATGCATAAAAAACCATATATTTTATATCTTATGATAAATAATAAAATAACGACATTACTGGCATGATCATATTGAATTCAGTGAAACTAATTACTAATTATTGGTTAACAATTCATATAACGATTAAAATGAGAATGTAACGAGGAAGCCAAGTAAGCAGCAAAACATCGTCATGGCGTTACTAATTGTAAAAACATCGTCTGGTTCGTCACTGCCAATTAACGCGGGAAAGCTGTTACGAACGAATTAATTATTTAATTACGCTGTTATAACATCGGTGTCGATGTGAGTGGAATCAGTGACTAGGCTGCTGGGACAGGGCTGGACATCACAGTGATGATGCTGATATTGCTCCATATAGCTATATACGGTATATCTAGGGGTTTTACTGTCCCGCGCGTGCCGCATGGTTACACCTGGGTGAACAATTGTCAGAAACATCGTTGATAGCAGGAGTGAATAATAGTTATGTTGATAGTTATAATGTAATAATAGTTATAATGTAATAATGTAACAATAGTTAAACTGGACATTGGAACATGTGTGCGTGCGTGCGTGCGTGCGTGCGTGCGTGCGTGCGTGCGTGTGTGTAGAGACATGCGGTACCTACATGTAGAGTATTGTTGTACTGAGTAGTATAGCTGCCTTCCTGCAGTGAGTGATCGATCGAAGGCAGTCAGAATCAGAATTAAGCTGTTCGTGTCAACCTCGTCTGATGTCAGAATATTTGATGCACTTGCATTATTGTCGATTTTTTAGTGTTCGCCTGCATAGTAAAGGCATAAAAAACTATCATCGCTGACGCATGTGACAGCCTAACTATGGGATAGAATTAATATCAGTATTTTTTGCTGTTATATTAGTAGTGTGCATGAAAATGTGTGAAAACCGCGGCAGACGTCGCGTACAAAAACGTAACTAGGAAAGGGTTCATATAAAAAAAAAGATCTGTGGGGTTTAGGTTATACAGAAATTCGGATGTAGGAATACGTTTTGAGCTAATATTTTGTTGTTATCACATTCATGATATTTTGCACGGAAAACGTGCAGCTAGAACGAACGGGGGCGTCGCATGCGAAACGCTTACAAGACTTCTGATATAAACGACGACAGCTGAGTTCCATTGCTCAAAATTCCGACATTATGATATTCTACGTGTTCGTAATTTATTGATATTACATTAATATTCTGCACGGAAAATTAATAGGCATGCAAGTGTCATTTACGAAAACTTAATTAACTATAGGAAAGAATTGATATCGCAAAGCAAACAATTCAGATAGATTTATTGTTCATGATCATATCCGACTTCTTTATTCACAATGTAAATATATCTACATTCGTACGGGGTTCGGTTTACGCAGGCACATATACATTCACACATATGCACTGTACATACATTTCTCGTCAAAAAATATATACGTGTTGTTGTTTTATTAGTCGTGAGGCACGAATAACGAACGCCCCATGTCGGAATACATACGACATATCTTTATCACAGTGAGGAAGCCGCTGCTTTCCCCATTGATACGTTAACTAATTATTTCTATATGCTGAACACATATACGCGTACCATATATACTTATAGTCTTATACACACCGGCTGTATGGCGGGCTGTCTGTATAGCGATGGGCAAACTACTTGTATCAAAACGTTCATATTTACTATCCCCGTGTACCTATTTTTTCCGACTACCTCTCCTCTAATGTTTCCCTGTCCCTTTCTATCTTTCGCTTTCCTTTGCCTGTGCCCCTATTTCTTTCTTCCGCCCTCCACTCTCGCACGCTCGCACGCACGCACGCACGCACGCACGCACGCACGCACGCACGCACGCACGCACGCACGCACGCACGCACGCACGCACACACGCACGAACACAATACATAGGACAGCTGTGTGTGCGCGCTCAAGCGCTAAGTTATCTTCACGATTGCAGACGAGAAAAGCAGTGACGACTCTCATTATTATTCACTCCTGATGTTATATATCATCATAGATACACGCATCATGCAACACACGCGGCGTGTACATGCTTGACTACACATCACATCGATATCACCGGGAAACATTGCAGGAGATGAGAGCGATTCTGTCATCTCTGCGTCTCACTGATACACGCTCGAGCGCCGACGTCAAACAAGAGTCGTTCTTCCTGACGCGTCAACAGCTTCTCATGTAAGCGATCAATAATCGCTAGGCGCAATCCGTGCTAGCCATCTCTCCCTCTCCCCCTCTCCCCCTCTCCCCCTCTCCCTCTCTCTCTACAGTAGTAACTCACTGTGCGCCTTTAAAGGGGCAATGTTCAGCCCTTGTGTTAGTAAATGCACGGAAATCCGTAATGGTAAGTTCCCAGACGTAATGGTAGTATCAGGACTAAGATAATATAGAATTCTATATTATCTTATTATCTAGATTCTATATTAGATCTAGATCTAGATTCTATATGATCTTACTCCTGGTAGTATGTGTGTGTGTCTGGGCGTAGCAGTAAAATCAACACGGGGTTATTTACTAACGGCAATGCACGTACGGTTGGTGACTGCTGCTGTCGTTTGTAATAAATGTCGACTCACTGGAGCCACGGCTATTGCTAATGAACGCGTGTACGACATACACTCATGTAGATGGATTTAATATCCCCCGCGCCGCTGTTCTATAAGCCCCACAGTACACAGTATAAACCCAAGAACAAATAAAATGGCTTATGTGCTCTTGATAAAGTGTTACGTTGCGTACATAGGATATCATGGGTGGTGCTAGCTCCCAGAAACGGTATTGCTAGGGTTAGAATATTGCCGTCAGTCACATATCCTGGTCGGGTTAGGGTGGTGCATACATAACAACATGTGTACTGTTCACGTATAAAATTCTCTGTACGGGATCTGATTCATGGCAGAGTGCGAAATTGAACGCGAGTCGGAGTCAAATACTCTCTGAATTTACTGTCGGACACCCTGAATGACATATGGTCAGAGTCTCTGTGTGACTCCATAAAAATTAGATATTACTAACTAGTAAGTTCGTTGCCAGAGCAGCTGGCCGCGCGCGGAATTAACGCGAGTGATTTTTTCAGCAAATTTTGTCCAAAGAAAATTTGCACACGTGGCAACAGCATGAATCTTCAAAAATAAGCCATCATGCGTGTATTGTTAATAACTTTCGTTTTGAAAACATCAGATTGTCAACTCCCATTTTGCTGGCGGACCCTCTTTCCCCTGTTCAAATTTAATTTCTACATCCTGTCACGGTTATAACCCCGTCAAACATGCAAGAGGCGCCCTCGCATGTCAAAATACTGATACACGCGCGTGCGTGTATGCGCCATACAAAACACATACATGGGTTCTATCAGGGATTAATAATGACAAATAATGAGCAATAATGACAAATAGACGACAATTTGTCATTATATTTATTTGTCATCATCTGTCAATAATTGTCACATTATTAACTCCTGGTTCTATGTGTGCGTGGTCGGATGAAGCAAGGTATCCCTCGCCCCACCGGCCACACACACGTACGCAGTAAGGTTATGTCAGAAACTAAACAGCATGTGGGACTTTTGTTCTAAGCGCCGCGATGCAGTAAGAATGCAAAAACGCATGAACGCATAATATATAGTTACAAGGCTAAATAATACCTATTATAACTAGGCTCTCTGATAGCTATAGTAACTACTTATATAACACTTTTATATAACTATAAATTGATTCAGGTGTCTTAGTTATAGGCTTTGTACAGGGTTCGGGTTATATAGCCTTGGTATCAGGGGGTTGGGGTTTATAAACTATTGTGCTCAAGATTCGATTATAGACTTGATGTGAGGGTTAGGTTTATAATTTGATGTGAAGGGTTTAGTATAGACTTGATGTGAAAGGGTTTAGTGTTATAGATTTGATGTGAGGGTTTAGGTTAAGACTTGATGTGAGGTCTCCGGTTATAGACTTGCTTTATGCACAGTCTCCGGTTAAAGACTGCGGGGAGGGGGGGGGCATATTTCGATGTATGACACCACATAGAAACTCGCGGTGATTCGCCTAGGTAACGCGGTGATGTGTGTATATTTACCAGGTGGATCCGCGCCCACTGCGCCCTCCGCTCGCATCGCTCGCACGCGCGACACACAAGCCGTCTATCAATTTATTGACGACCCCGATCAAATTGTAAAAACAGAGAGCAATCACCGGTGAGAGCTTCCGCGGGGGAGGGTGGAGAGTGGGGTGTCGTCTGACCCGGGCCGGGCGCCGCCTCAAGGAGCCCGCGCCGCAGCCCCCCACCCCCCCACCCCCCGGCCCCGACCCCCGCGGACCCCCCCCAGGGAGAGGTCGGGGGGGGGGGGGTGGGGGTAAGGTTGGGAGGGAGTGGGGGAGAAGTTTGGGAAGGGGAGGTTGGGGAGACGATGGGAGGGAGGTGGAAGAAGGTTTGGAGGGGAGTTGGGGAGACTCGGGGGGGATAAGGCTGGAAGAGGAGCGGTGACGCTGGGAGAGGACGAGAAAAGGCAGGAGGAGGAGAGAAAGGTGAGGAGAGGAGAGGAAAGGAGTTAGGGGAGGAGTCAGGGAGAGGTAAGTTAGGGGAGTTAGGGGACAGTTACGAGAGGAGTCAGGTGAGGAGAGCAAAGGTTGGGGGAGCCAAATAGGAGGAGACTGCGCCGGTGATAAGAAACAG